AACACCAAATCATCAGAGCAGTAACATAGACCTTCGAACAAGTTTAACAAAACAACAGTGTACTCACTAGTTCAGTTACAATAAATAAACATGAAATTCTTAAAATATACTTTATGGAAAATAATTTTAGTTTTTTTGCTTCTCGTGTGTTTAGATAGTTTATTCAAACGTCGTATGGCGATGACGAGTACTGTATATCTGCATATTTGTAAAATGAGTTGCAGTAACAGTGATCTCTAAAACATAATATGTAATAAAAATAAGATAATTTGTATGATTGTCTTTTTATTGTTATTGTCAAGATGTGAGGTAATTTCCAAAGTTTCGCTACATAAAGTGCTCGACTTGCGTTGTTGTTTGATATCCTTGAATTGCTTTTATTGCTAGGTCTTACCTCAATCCACCTGTTTTTTATAACAATAATGGATTGAAAGTGTTGATGGTTTGTTCGGAAAGTGTTTAAAAATTGATACGGCGTGCGAGCCAGCAAGTTGGTCAATAATTAGTGGCTATAGACACCAATTATATTTGACTGAATGACAATTAATGTATATTCGATTGATTTCATACCTTAATCTACCATTTTTATCAGTTTGCGAAACTGCTTCTAATAGTGCCAAAGATTCAGATTGACTGGTACTGTCATAAATGTATACGAATTGGTATGCCAGTCTACTTATTTCTGTGGTACTAAGCATATACGCTTCCCGTCAGTGTCTTTTTCAGCATATCTTGTTGAAGTATAACGCAGACCAATCCTCACATTTTCTGATACATATGATATGACAGTCATCTGATGTCATTTACAAGATTCAGTCAAGAAATTCTGTACTTTACACTATAAATTTAGCAGGCTTTATTTTTTTGTCCGGGGACAAATGTCTGAGAACCTGTGTCAGTCTTTTTTCGCAAACAGAACAACAAACCATTTGTGACAGAGTCCCCGTGTTTTGCAAACAAAAGTCGTTTGTCAGATGTTTTTATATGAATTTATTCACAGACCATCTCGGCTTAACGACACACTTATTCTGTTCTCCTTATTGTTTTTCATGTTTGTGATCCCCATAGTAGCCATTTGTTTAAAATAACGTAGTCAATTTTCAACTAATAACCAATAGGATTGTGAATGCTTCGTAACATGATAAGTCAAACTTCAGTGGAGTGTAGTCAGAAAGCACGTAGTCGAACAGTAACACGTTTGAGTGTGTTTCTGTCGAGTCACCCATCGTGCAAGCATATTTACGACCGGTAAGTACCATTTTGACTACTTATTCGGCGAGGGAATCTTTTTCGACGAGGTTGTATTCAAAATTCTATTATTGTATGCATTTGTAGAGATTATAAATTGATGATTAACCGTATGGCCGTTAAAATTAGATTCTGCAGCATGATGTGATAACATGTTGAAGTGGAGATGAAATATAATCAGAGAGAACATGGAAATAAAAATAATTCTATTGAGGAACTAAGTGCTTTGATAAATGCACATATAATTGGTCACATGTGAGAGTTCGCGCTTCAAGTTCTTGATGAAAGTTGGTTGGTTAGAAAATACTAACCCTAAGATTGTGATGAAAGTTTTGTTGATTACTCACTTCTGTTATTCGTCCAATGTGAGACTTCTTCCAGGCCATACTGATGTAGATATTCCTGCTTTCGTTGTCTTTGTTGCGGTTGTAAACTATCCTGAAACTTCTGGTTATGATTGCATTTCAACATGGAACGGTAAACTGTAGTGTTTCAGAAATTTTATTTAAAGTCTTGACAATTAAAAGCATGTAATGAAGATGGTTGTGAATTATTTCGCTATTTGGATGTTAGTTATTTATTTGAACACATAAATATTGGTACAAAGGGGCACCGAATACATATGCGCTACACAAGTCATCTGATTTGCTTGTGCGTTGTGATACTACCCGGGTGCGCAAACTGAAGCAGGTGGTCTTCCTAGGGGACCACGCCCAGAGCTTTCGACCTAAAGGTCGAATACACAAAGCAGTAGGGCAACGTCACGGGATGCACTCCCATGGTAGCCCGCGGCCAACAGTGTGTTCATACACCTTTTGTCCCCTCACGGTACTGGAGCCCATGTGCACCATTGCTTTGCGATCAGGGTTTTCCAACTCTAGGTGCACCATCCGTATTCACCAGCCCGGTTAAAGCACCGGAAATTTGCTTTTCATCCTCTCAGTTTCCTGAACAACATCTACCGCGAGAAGCTGGTGAGTAGACCTTTCTTCGCAGTGGCTGTATGCGCGTGACCATGTGAGAGCATTTCATCCGTACCAGGGTATTTGTAGGATGAAAATATATTTTCCTAATGGGAAGCGAAACTTATTACTAGGGTATTCATCAGAATCCCAAAAGCTTATAAATTTAGTATATACCTGAATTTTATCAAGAACTGAGTGTATCCACTCAGAAAAGCTATTTTTCAGTGAGTTTTAACAGCGTTCCACAACTTTCAGTACGCAAACATGTTTTATGCATATAACTTTCTGTTTTAGATTGTTACTAATTGCTTAAATGAAAAAAACTGTTGTTTTGTTATAGTATTTAGCTGTTCTAATCGGATACATACATATACATGTAGGAAGCTATGTTCGGAAATGAAGATATGTTTGATGACGGGGAGTTATCCGTTGAATATTCCTCAGATGACAACTCCGAACCCAATGTTGATTTAGAAAATCAGTACTACATGGCAAAGTCGCGAAAAGATGACAATCCAGATATGGCACTTTTAGAATTCCAGAAAGTTTTAGATATTGAAGGTACTGGGAATAAAGGCGATTGGGGATTCAGAGCATTAAAGCAAATGATTAAAATAAATTTCAGGCTTGGAAGGTTCGATAATATGATGGAAAATTATAAAGTCCTCCTTACCTACATAAAGTCAGCTGTAACTCGAAATTATTCTGAGAAGTCCATTAATTCGATTTTGGATTACGTGTCAACCTCCAAACAAATGGATTTGTTGCAGCAGTTTTATATCACTACTCTAGATGCCCTTCGTGAGTCGAAAAACGAAAGATTGTGGTTTAAAACTAACACAAAACTGGGTAAACTTTACTTGGAACGTGGTGACTATATGCATTTACAAAAGATTGTTAAGGAGTTACGTGAGTCTTGTCAGACAAATGATGGAGAAGACGATCTTAAGAAAGGAACTCAGCTGCTAGAAATTTACGCACTGGAAATTCAAATGTATACAGCCCAAAAAAACAACAAAAAGCTAAAAGCATTATATGAACAGTCTTTGCATATTAAATCAGCCATTCCACATCCTCTCATAATGGGAATAATACGAGAATGTGGTGGGAAAATGCATCTTCGCGAAGGAGAATATGCGAAATCCCATACTGACTTCTTCGAAGCCTTCAAGAACTATGATGAATCTGGATGTCAACGTAGGACACACTGTCTAAAGTATCTTGTCTTGGCCAGCATGTTGATGAAATCGGGTATTAATCCATTCGATTCACAGGTTTGCGATTTATTGTTTTATTTTTCAAAGCAATGGGAAAATTGCTTGGTATGGTTACTAACCGAATGTTTTGTAGACTGTATGACTTCATAATATTTTGAATCTATCTGATTGTGCTTGACGATGCAACTCATACTCCTCTGTAACTGAATTGTTTAGAGTTATAGCAAACTAAAAGTGCTCCATAACTCCGAAGCAAAAATAGCTTTTTATCCCCCATCACAAGGGATTAGACCATCGTCAAAGCATAGAAATTCATCCTAGGCAATCTAAAATATGTAGAGGACCGACTCCTAAGTAGCAAACCAAGTTTATATTAGATGGTCAATTTATTTATAACCTTTTTATTTTCATTCAGTCACTTAAATGTCATATAAATTACAATGGACTAATCCTTTTTATGTACTATGAGGCAACTCATCTACTAAATGCAGTTACGTGTATTTAGTATTTAGCCATAGCTTTGGTGTGTTTGTGGTACTTTTCGGTCTGAGTCTGAACCCAAATGGTTGAGATTTGAGTGTTTCGATAATTTCAGACCTTTCTTCAGTGTGTTGAACCAAAATATGCTCTAAGAGTTTTGCTAGAAGGCAATATGGTTAAAGTGTTTTTAGGTTTCGAAAGCTCCATTATAGTGTCTTGATTATGCTAAGCAGTATAATAATCTCTACATAGTTTCAAACCAAAGAGTTCATAGAGGATCCCTTAAACTTGCCATTCCTTTGTTTTTTTGGGTTAGTAACCACCTGATAGCGACTTTGTAAAGGTTGAGTGGTAGTAGTGTTGATCGATGCCTCAAAAGCTCGTAATTACATGCATAATTTCACATGTTCTGATGTAGTGTCATCATTTCTTACTATATTACACTTCTTAATAGCCTTTGTTCCACTTTTTCCCTGTTCAGATAAGTGAAGTACGCTAAATGTGCTTTATTTTGAATTCAAGAAGCAATATGAAGATTTATTTACAATTAAAATAATGAGCCAAGGTTCTATTTTGACTTTAGTCCATTACCTTAATATCATTTACATGTTTTCCTTAAACTGCATTTGCTTTGTAGGAAACAAAACCGTACAAAAATGATCCTCAAATTGTGGCTATGACAAGTCTTGTAACAGCTTATCAGAACAATAATATCGTAGAATTCGAGTCCATTTTACGACATCAACGTGATTCAATCATGGAAGACTCTTTTATTCGCGAACACATTGAAGACTTACTTCGTAATATTAGAACTGAAGTTCTCATCAAATTAATTCGCCCGTACACCAGAATACGCATACCTTTCATTTCACAACGGTTAAATCTAAGCGACCCAGAAGTAGAAAGTCTTCTAGTGGCCTGCATTTTAGATAATACAATACAAGCGCGAATTGATCAAGAGCATCAAATTTTGGTGCTTAGTACAGAAGCTACTTCAGAAGCGCGTTACCAGGCTCTTGACAAGTTAGCCCTACGGTTACGGCATTTACAAACGGCGATGTCCAACAGAGTTCCTATAACTAATTAAAGAGCTTTTGAATTTAAGCAATGACAAAAAACCAATACGACATGCAACATAATATACCGAATTTTCTTCAATACACGAAAATTACAAAAAGCGTACGATTTGCAAACAGAAACGTTGTTAACAATCTTATGTAAAATTTACTATGGCAAAAATACAACTGATAACGCAAGTAATTTGCTTTCATCCATCAAGTGATAACAAGTACAATGTAGACTGTGTGCATACCAAAACTGATGGATAGGGTTTGTCTGTAGCAACAAATCCAATTATTGGGTCATTAGTTGGTAGGGTAACTACGTGTTGTGATGCGACATGTACAATCTGTTGCTTTTTTGCTGAAGATGAGTTAGCTGTTGTGCGTTTCCTTAGTTCTGTATCCTTAGAATCATTTGATAGGGGCTGACAATATATGTAGATTCTCCTTGTCAAGTCTGCAACTGCCACAAATTTTAGTGGAGATCCGTCCGATAAAACTGGACTAGAAACAAACCTACTTTCACGTTTACTGGCGAGAACGTAGCCAAATGCTTGCAAAGTTGAGACATGTCTCCATACGCATGGGTCTCTTCCTGTCAGTGTATTCTGGCATAGTGGTAACCAAACTATCCCATCTACATCATGACGGATACAGAAAGCGTGTGTAGCATTTGGTTTCCCCGTAGCACAACGAATTTTGAACAACCATTGATGTCCTGATAAATAGGCCTAAATTAGAGCAATTCGCTTATTAAACAAATTTAATATAAAGAGGGTTATCTAGTTAGTTCGAATCATGTATAAACAACAACTAAAAATGAGTACGAAAACCAGACTGCTTGGATTGCGAGACTGGAAAAATAACTAAATTCATGTGTCTTGAAAGCTTACGTCTAACATAAATCATTTTTTAGAAAGGCTGGAATAGTTTCAAAATAATACTCGCATAATGCTATTATAAGGAATGCGTAGGTTAATTTTAAACACTGACATCGGTTATTCGTAATATCAGTGCAAATGTTTTCGTATCAGTAACGAGATCATATACACAAAATATAACAGGCGTTACACCAGTCGTTCCATCAGATACATCAGTTTTCAGAAGAAAAAAACCCATATTGAAAACAGGTCTACTTAAGCTCCATTTTTGTTAATAACTAACGGAAGTAGGTTAGCCACTTACTGTAAGTTAGGAGTACTTGGGAAATCTGTCCAAACTGAGGTTTTAGCGTGAACTTGCAGAAAGTTTTCCAAATAACAATCTCATCGATCAGTCATATTTCTAACCCTAAGAACGGTATGGTTACAGGCTATTCAGTTTAAATTATTAGTTCGCAGTTCTCCGACAAACAAAACACAAAATGTTTAACCTACGGTCTTGCTGGGCCAGTTCACTGTATGCAATAGGTTAAAAACATGGGCAGGTCTTAGAAGTTGGTAGCTTACCTGAATGTTTATACCCTCTAAATGGTTAGTAATGTTTATTTTTTGCCAATGAATCATGGGAGCTTTCCGGTTACAAGGAAAGGCTTGCAAATCAATGTCACTGGTGACCTAGTGTGATGTAGTTAAATCGAAGCCATTATTTGGCGTGGTAAGCCTGCTCGTTAATAAAAAAATGATATGCACAAAAATAACTTAGAACCTGGAATATTGGGAATTTACCCTAAATTGTTATATCAACACATCTGGGGAACTGTCCGCTGAAGTCAAATGTAGGAAGCATAGCATGCCAGTTCCTGTTAGCTGTTTCAGGTTTGGTATTAGTAGGGTAATTTCATCAACAGTCCAATAATGCTGACAGTATGTTCAGACCAGACGATTACAGCATGCACATCCCATAATTTTCTACCGTAAAGCTGAAACACTACTACTCATTTAAGACATACAAAACTTAATGAAGTCATTAAATTAATAGCCAGGAAAAAGAAAAGGCAAAAATAGGTGGATCTTGTGGTGACCTAAATCTCAGAGTGTAGCCAGGTGTTATTGCATTACACGGTACAAAGTACCTATTTAGGGTAACTGAATGGTCACTAAGCACGTAAGACAAATCTCTGTTCGAAGCATATCATCTAATCAAAAGTTTCTTAATTTACAATGGCCTACTTACGGATACGTTTGTCAATCCCTAATTACATTTTCACACAATGTCCTAATTGAAACAACTACCTAGTTTACCACATACCACTATTTTGAAAAATAACACTAAAAAATTATGTTGATGTGGTTGATTTCAATTTTGCTCCAACAAAATTTCAGTTCTTAATGTTTTTGCACTGATATTAACTGAATGTTCCTTCTCTTTAATTTTGCATCCTCTGAGTTATTGACTGACTGAGATGTGTATTGCCGATTGACTAACCATCATTTGTTTGGTGTTGATTTTTATATTTCATCATAGTTTAGGGCCGTGTCGAGGGAATAACTGAAGAGGAATATTTTTTTGCCCAATTAGTATTTAAAGGTCTCGAAGGGAATGCCTAATTTACCATAGAATCAGATATCAATTTGAACTTATTCTAATATCACTTACAAAATAAATACATATAGCTTTATTTTAGCAGTCATATTAGATTTAACAATGCCAGTTGGTAACTAACTAACCCATAGATTTGTGTACCCGCGCATCGAACCATACTTTTATGAGAGGGCTGGTCACACTAACAGAGTTTTTGGGTCGAAGTAAATAGGGACTTGTAGCTTGAATGGCCATGAGTCGGGCACTCAACCACCACTCTAGATTTTGATAAGGCAAATAAATCCCCACACATACCTGATGAGTACACTTGAGAGTTTCATGGTCGAACCTTTGTAATAAAAGATCAGTTTCATCTTCACTCATTGGGAAATCAACTTCTTCTAGCTGGCCAACATTGAAAGGCGGTTTCGGTGTCAAATCAGCCTTTCCATCTGATTGTACACGCATTTGGTCATCCAAACCAGTGTGATGTGAGCAGTGCATTCCAGTTAATATTTTATTTTCATGTGGATCGAGTAACAAACGGGGCCAGTAATGGGAATTCTGTTTAGTTATGCGTATTTCAATGCTTTAAATGAAAACCACAGTTCGTATTTTCAATTTACTGAATATAAGACAAATACAGAAAGGTAATAAAATATGCACCAACCAACCTTATCTAGTGAGGTAAGAATTTACTACTGGAACATTTCGTAACATTGAGACATTGGGTATATTTTACTACATTTCAGTCAACAAACGAAATATACAGTATTAGTTCTTACGTGAAAACCAAAAACTAGCTCATCTGTATTGAAAAAGGATTTCTTTTAGCCTACTTTTATTATTATTTATGGGGCCGAACTGGTCTATTTCGACAGACAGAAACTCAAATAAATATTTATGACTTCACAAACTGGAACATTTTTGATATCTACTATTTGTGCATTTTGCTGTATCAACTGTACAACATACAATTTCTGCTACACTTTAGAATGTGAAAACCATCTAAATCACGGAGAGTTATGATTCCCCGTGAAAACAAGTTACCAAACTATTTTTATGTATATAATCGTTTGCATGAATTTGACAAAATATCATCAATGATCTACATCTCTTTAAATTAGCATAGCAGAATAATTCGAAAATTGTTCTTAATAGGGCAATTATTTTTCATCTATTAAAGAGCTAGTTAAGATTAATCCATTTAGGAAGCATAGGGTTTATAAAGTCGGCTTTGAGACATCGTTAGTGTGAAAGTTAATGAGACTACCTAACTACCCAAACTAAATTGGATGTGGTGAGGTTGAAACCTCGAATGTATTAGCTGAAAGTCGAAAACTTCAACCACCACTACTCCACCCGTCTTCTGTTATAATATCGAGCATAAAGATCGGACTTATAATCTTGGATATTTAATGACGTACCGGTTATTTTTTCGATCATAGGTCCACGAGGAATTGGGTTCTACTGGTTCATAGAGCATCTGATCAATCAGTGTGATAGGGCGATCACTATTTTTTTTAGTTTTCGTGACTGGATTATAGGAGTGCAGGTTCGCGCGGAGTATCTGGTGTTTAGATGACTCTTCACAGATTGGAATGATTTCCACAGAAACAATATTCGAATCATATGAAGATGGGAGAGTGATACCATTTAGCGTAAAAGTGACATTGAGCAAACTAGGATTGATATCTTCATCGGCGTCAGTTTGTGTCCAAGTTACGAGAAACTCGGGATCCTGTCCAATACATGTATCTTCTGTATCCATTTGTTTAGACTCAGAATCTGTTTCAATACAAAAGAGCTACCAATTTTAGTAACATGATTGTTCGTAATTTTTTTGGATAACTGTAGAGAATGGCAAATATTAACGGCTGGGGTAAAAATTATAAAGAAAATCATTAAAATTCAAGGAACTAAGGAACCACATGTACAAACCAGTCATTTTAATACTGTGAATATGAACTTAGTCACGTAGCTCCTTCGAACTTAAACCATGGTTTGGAGGATTACTTATTTGATATTCAATTACAAGCATGAATGTTGAGATTCTATTCCATCTACATCAATTTTCATTCATGGGTGAGGTCTGTAGTTATCATTTAAATGCTGTCACAAGCCTAAAAAATAACGTAGTTATTGAGTTGTATTATATTTCAGACTAGTTTCGATGTAACATGGAAAACCTTTAGTCCTTTCCATTATTATTTTTCTTAAGCAATTGTTTTTTCCAACAGCCAGTGGAATGTGGTTTTCTGGTATTTGTACGGTATATCTATCATGCGTTAGAAATAAAACATAGCGGATAACCTTTGAAAATACCATCATAATAAATGGTACAATACATCCACAGGAATATTAAAAGGAAGACCTGAAACCGATGCATTTGGAAAGTCAGTATAGTAAAGTTTGACGTTCAAGTATAAGTACGTGTGCCCACCTTTAAACGATTTAGTAAGTAAAAGTTGAAGGATATCAGTGAAATCATATTATTTTCAAACGGTATACAAACTAATTAAGCAGTAAATTCACTTGGAATTTTTTTACTTGAATCTTCCCATTAATGTTTAGGATTGCAATTGATCAGACTCTCATTGGCATATGTGCATTCTTAGCGGATGTCCCCAATACTGCCTTGATTCACAAGCATTATAAGCAAAGATGGATAGTGGTTAGTAGTAGAACCCGAGACGCGCGTTTCGCCCTATTTGCATATCAGGACTCAGTAGCTAAGTGGATAACGCGATGGCGTTTAAAGAGAATGGTACTGAGTTCGAGTTTCGGAGCGAACATCGAATCTGGAATGCTGGTACATCCAGCTGACGAGTCCCATATATGACGAAACGGGCGTCCTGGGTTCCACTACTAGCTACTATTTATCTTTGCTTATAATGCTTGTGAATTAAAGCAATGTCGAGGCGATCCGGAAATGCCCGATTTGCTCAGAACATTTTTACGTATTGAGATGGTGGAGAGGATTTGTAGCACAGGTGGACGGCAGTTTACGCATTTCAACAAAAGGCATGGAAACAACCAGCCCCTTAAAACGGTTCACGAAACTTACATTTATTAAGGTAGTTTTCATGAACAGATGGATTGCAGGAGTCGTAAATAGCATGAAATTTTCTTTCTGAGCAAATATGCAGTGCTGAACAATCACCTTCGAAGGCAGCGAACTCAGGAAATGAAGATGCAACGAATTTCTGGTGCCGCACTATGGACCAAGACATGTTGGATTCTAGGAAACGAAAACAATAGAGCCTGTGTTTTGTAGGTGTTTTCAAAAACAACTTACAAGTATTCAGTTAAATGCTATTAGTAAAAGAGAATATTCAAGGTGCAAACGTCGATGAGCAGAGAATATGGACGCTTATTATCTAGTGAAATGTCATACGGAGAATCGAGTTACACTTTCGATTATACTTATCATTTAGAAATTATAATAACCAGCTATATTGGTATTAACCGTAGGACCATTACTTCAAATTTCAACTGTCCAGGTGTAAGGGAATCGAATAACTCAATTAGTTGTGGTTTAATATCTTCGATTTTTTATTTCTTCTATTCGTGTCAAGATGTGCATCAAGTGATTGGTAGATTTTCATTTTAAATTGCTAATCTAGTTGACTCATGGGAAGTTGAACAGGTCAACTAGTAAATCTGTGGTGTGATGTAGTAGAATAACCACAGATCAGTGACTACTTTCGTATCTATGATCCACAACTATTGAATGCCAATAATAGAATTGTTGGGAAGTGATCGATGGTTTCTCCAAATTGTTGGTCGCTAGGAGTCAATTTATTAACTTATATTTTACTCATATAGGTTGACAAAAAAGGAATTGCGAATGTATCATTTGGTATTGTTACTCTCACTAGTTTACAAACTAATAGTTTGTTCCATCGCAAAGGCGTAAGACAGTGAGTGTTGGAAGAGTGACTTTATGTGCTTAGTTGAAACTAATTACATAAAAGTGATGAGACTATGTGTAGCCATTGTGAATGGAATATTGAGTTAGTACTACTCTAACTGCCTAAGAGAATCAAACAAATTGAATAGGAGGAACGATGATTAGTGGATTACATGGAACATGATAATGAAGTAAAACTTTGGGTATTAACCAAAAATAACTCAAAGTGCAATTCTGCAGCTACGTGAATCAAATTTATGCAATTGTGAGATTTAAACGAATGCGTTGGAACCAAATTTACTCCATTTCCTATCACCATACACGAATAATATGATGAAGAATTGGAAAATGAGCAAATAACAATTTCTATGATATAAGTAGTGAAGGATTCTTTTATGCCGTCTGGAGTTTAAACCGCGATTGTCCAGAATCAATATACTAAAGCATTTGAGTTTCTTTCAGTTGTTGGGTAGATGAGAGATATAAATATATACTACTGAGAAACATGTACAATTCCGTCTTACCGCTAACCTAGAACATTTAATAATGAATTATTGATAAACAATTGCCAGTAAAACCAGGCCTACAGTTTTTTTATAGATGATCAGTATAGTTATGATTAAATTCGTGTCTAGCATAAAAGCTGGGTAGTGAAGTGTTCATCTTAAAACAAATTTCGTTACGCACAGGTGCTATCTAAAACTATCTTCCTAAAAGAATCTGGCGTCTTAAATTATGAGCGGTAACTAACATAAATGATTAATATCAAAATGTAACCAAATACCTGGTGAGCTGTAAGAGATCCATTCAAGATACGTCACATAAGTTGAAGTCGAATCGCTACATATGGGATCTTCTTCAGATTTTTTCGAAATACCAACAAATAAACAATCCAAAAAGAGTTGATGAGAAGTGTCATCAGAATTAAGTAAACAGTCTAATAGCTGACTATCTTTCTCATGGACAGGAGGTTGGATCCTGCTAACAACCTGAAAATATATTAAGGATTTAACAGATATAATAACAAACTAGGCAACGCAATTAAGTTAACTGTGTTTATTAGGTTCATATATTACACCGGAAACTTCGAGAAAACTGACTGATTCGCATAAAGACTTCAGAGCAGTTGAACTTTATGCTTGATTTTTTGGTTTGGCAGTTTTTATACGCATATGTAATACTTTATTGCAATGAAAACACATTTCCAACAAACGCATGAATAAAGACCTAGCATAAACTTCACAAAGAGTAAAGGAAACAGGAATCTGAATCTTTAACTTATTGAGCAGTCGAAATTGTTGAGTCACCACTACCACTTTTAGTACACAATGGTAATAATCAGACATTGAAGAATGTAGTGGCGGAAATAAGAGTTCATATTCTCTACTCAGTCATTACTGACTTGCCATGTCAATTTTACACGACCAAAACGTAATCATCAATTTCGTACACATGCATTAGTTCTTTCCGATAAAAATTTAAATATAGCAACAAAACAATAAATATTTCTGATACTGCAAGTACAAGGAATCAGAATTTTTAACGTTCCGCCACTCAGTTTAAGTTGCTTCTTTCATGACTTTAAATTCACTCAAAGGAGCTAACAAGATCTTAGAAAGAGATAAGCTAAGGGAAAAATAATGTCAACACCTGACGATTTAATTCTACTAATATTAGCATTAAAACATACTAAAACGAAGTACCTTTGAATAACAACTCAAAAGAAATTTGATGGGTCAGTATCGTAGTTTTATCTTCCTGCTATAGTACAACGGAAGAACTGGAACGCATCTCGAAGCTAAATAGAATTAAAACTGTCCATAAAGCAACCACTACTCTTCGAAATACTTAGGTTAGATCAAGGGAAAAGATCACTTTCGCACCAATACAGAATTACTTCTACAGATTAAGCTGTATCGAATGTGATGCTTTCTATTTTGGAAAGTCTTCTCGTAAAATCTCAACTTCTGCCACGCAACACCTAAGTTATACAAAAATACCCAACGATCCCGTGAAACTGGAAAATTTACAGACTAAATGGACAATAGTAGTATTTGCTGTATTCAACAACCACGAAGTCAATTTTAAAGATATCGAAACAACTCGGAAAGATTTTTTAAACTATAAAAAAGGGCGCGTAGCTGGGGCGTTTCACGTAATCTTAAAAATCTTAACTCTACTTCTTCAAATCACAAATTTGACATTCACTAGCACACGCATAAGTACACATCGTGATGTCCCATACAAAATCACTTTGACCAATGAAAAGACGGTGACAGAATCAGAACAGTCTTGATTTCGACTGAACTAAATATTTGACCTTATCCTCTTTACTATTCGAACCTGTGTTAATTCGATTATCTATTTATTTACTCTGTGAAAAATCGAACTGAACTAAGTTGCGAAACGTCAGATATCCTAATTTATCAAATTACATCACAATTTGATTTTATCATTTATTTGATGTCAACTGGAACAGAAGTCTTTCATGGCTTCATACCAATTTGAAGTCTTTTCCAAGTCTTTCATGTTCAGTATTATTCTTTGATGCAGCCTATATTTAGAGAGCGGAAGTGATTAGACAGTATTTCGGAACTGAGAAATGAAAGAGTCTTGCTGGGTCAGCAACGGTTAGATGACCGCTTCTTCGCGACTGTGGTTGCAATAAAGTGAGAAATACTCACGTATTTAGCCTGAAGTATTACGAGTTAAATTTTAATTAGGATGTCACAGTTGACTCAAAATAAGTAATGACTGGATTGTTCAAAATATTCACTCAAGTTATTCAGGAAGTAGCAATCAGTTTGAAGATCTATTCAGTCCCATAGTTTCATGATGTGGTTAGGAGCAAAAATGCGAAAACTAGTCATGCACAGGGCTACTTTAATATGAAAAGCGATTACAGTAAGTACTGGAGCTAATTTATTCTCAACATACAAAACCCTGAAAGAAAAAGAGCTAAAATCAAATGTTGAAAAGGCAAAATATAAAACTTACGTTGAGTAAATCATTTCTTTGTTGAACATCTGGCTTTAGGAGATATAGATTACCTAAACCATCATACAAAGATACATAATATAGCGCAGGAAACTGGATCGACACACTACGAAACTTTTCATCAGATGGTTCACACCAATCAGGAAGTGTGAAAACAATGGTTCCTTGGTTGAAGTTTTGTGGATACTGTGGTACCTTCATCAACACTAACTACAAAACTACTTGTTTAAACAATATTAGAAACCTACAGACCCATCGGTACTCATGTAGTAAACATAGCTGGTATCAAATGGATTAACACACAGGCAGTTAATATTATTGTATGCTTTGAGATGTTGTTTAGAAGTAACTTCGTTAAGAGGTTTGCAGTAAACTCCATTTTGACTGCTTGCCTCATAAATAGGTATTTTAAGCAGACTGAGTTTATAAGACTCAAAATTCGGGTCGAGAAGTGAATGGTCGGGTCTTAAACTAACATTCATTATGTAGAGTGGCGACCCGTTCAGTTTTCGTTAGATTTTTGAGTTGCTGGTGAAAACGTGGTACTGACAAGGTTGTTGCTCCAGTTGACACGAAAGTCTGAAACATATACCACACAGTTGACTGACCAAGCTGAAATAAAAAATATAGAAAGCAGAAAATATAGTATTTACATAGTGAATAGTGTTACCAGTTGTCAAAATACTAAATTCCATGTGAATTGGTATGTATGGGAACGAGTTGTATTGTTCTATAAACTCAGGACTATATGATACTATCAACTAACCATGTGTTTATATGCTTATCTTCTATTCTTTGTGATCAGTTGATATGCAACGACTTTTTCCTTCACTCAAGCAGCTTTGCTTTAAGGATAGATCTAAAGTCTTTGCTGGCATTGAATCAGGTCAATTTACGTACGCAAAAACGAATCACAATGTTGGCATATCTAAGATGAGTCTTGTTCGTTCTGGATGCAAAATGTCGCCTTAAGACTGATCTGCATCAAAACTTGAACTAACAATGGGCAGCGAAGCGGTTGAGCCTGTCGAATGTTTGACTTATCTTGGAAGCCTTATTAGCCCTGGTAAGTAGATGCCCGGCTAAATCTCATTATGGATTTAGAAAGCTCAATTGGTTCTTGCCAACTTGTGGAGTAGTGAGATCTTCATCTACAAGTTTTCTCTGTTTTAGTCTATGGCTATGAAATGTGGCCTTTAAAAAAAGAATTTTCTTAGGTTGTTGGCATCTGATCATAAACGCCTTTGAAGCATTGTTCGTTTACGTTGGGACAGCCAAATGAATAATGTTAAGATTAAACAGAAAGTACTAGGCAAAGAGAGAAAGTCCATTGATGGTGTGGTAAATCTTTATTGATTGAGGTCATGGGGATGTGCTACCGCTTACCTCAACTCCCGATGGTGGCTAGTGTAAGAGTAAGCTGAAAGAAATGTAAAGGTGGCTAAATGCAAACGTGGAACCAGTTTATAAAGTCACTGATTAGATGGAGATTACCTAGTTGGCCCTGAGAGATTATTGTAACCAGGGGTTGAAGACTTTGAACAACATGGTTTAGGATCATTTGCGATGGTGAGGTTAAATTCACTTTTTATCTTCCCTTAGATCTTAAGCTTTTAAACGACCTCATAATTCATTAATATTCCACAAATACGTGTTTTTGTTAAAGTCATATTTTCAATTCCTAGTCATTTATACTACTATGATCTAAAATGTCTTGACAGTTTCATCTCGCTTTGTTGAGGTTTGGCAGTTTGAAATGATACATATATGTACCAGCTTTTAAGTTATATTTGACTCGGTGGCCGACACTATTACTTTAATCCAGTACGGTGAAGAGTTTAGCGAAATGAAGCAAAGGTGCAAAATCAATGCAATTTTAGGACTATATGTTCTGTCGATGATACCTAACAAAAAAAACAAAATTTGTTCTTAAAAATTAACACCTTAAATATATATATCTAGGTTGAATCTACAATATAATTTGTGTTTTTATAAACAGTTCATAACCAACCGTGTAAGGTCAGCAGTAAGGCTGCTGGCTCATCTAGAACAGTAAGATCTAATAGTGGGAAAGGTACCTGATAGATCTTCGAACAGAATGAAAATGTTAATAGAGTAATTGACATGGAAAGATTATGGTGCATGCGATACGAGGACCAGGCAAAAGCGTAGTGTAACATAAAGATATGAAAATGGAGAGCAGTAACCTGAAAGACGATTTGAAATGAAAGGGATCGGTAAAGTACAGGTTATTCGGGATAACAATGATTACGTGTGAAAGATTATCTCTAGGTGAAACGAGAGGTCGTTATGAAGGACTTTCAAAAGTTATTGCAAATTGTTCATATGTTTACCAAATCGCCTTTTATAGAGATTTTATTGAATGGCTTACGCGTGCAAGTCTTGTTTGTGACGTTTTTGACGTTAGTAAAACTTTTTGATTTCAAATTTGGATTCGCACAATCTACCTGATTAGTAGGACTAAATGATCTGATAATCAATGAATAATTAAGAACAGAATGACCCGACTTCCATATTTTGGGGTTTTCCCTAAAGTTTGGGGAAGCCACAATTGAAAATTTTGGGAAAGTCGCATAGAATCTCCAAAATTTCCCCAGGGCTTGGGAAAACTATGACGTTTCACATGAATTTGGGGAAGACCCATAAATTTAATTAAAATCAGCAGACTCTACAGGGATATGTCTCTGACATTACAATGTCGGATAAATGGAAGTGGATCGAATACGATTTAGTCTTCAGTAATAAGGATAGTTTGTTGGTGAACCTGTGTTAATCGTGGCAGTTTGCCTTCCGCTGAAGGTCCAGTTTCTCCTTGAAAATATTTACTGATGGGGCTGATACCACTTGTACGGGAAAGGCGTTCCAATCATTGACTACTCGATGAGAAAAACGGGACCCCACTTTAAGTTTATTAGATTGCGGTTTTATGAACCTACTTGCTATGACCTCGGAGATTATTAGTGCTGGAGGGAGCAGAAAGATAAGACATATTAACACCCAAATCATAAATAAAGATACGAAATGCCAGTATGAGGTCACCTCGCGTCCTACGATACAAGGGGGAAAAGGTTTAGGCGTTTTAAACGCCCATTTTAAGGGAGTTTAGAAAGACCCTTCACTGATTTCGATTCCACACACTGGAAACGCTTAAGGGAGTTAGTATCGTTTACCAGACATGGGCTAGCTGCTTGGATACAGTACTTTATATGTGGTCGTATGTAGGTGGGATATAAAATTCGAAGCATTTCCTCGTCAAAAGATTTGAACGCTCGGCGAGGTGAAGAATTTGAAGATGATTAGTTACACCAATGTGATGTATCTTCTCTACATATTAGTACATTCTACTTAGGTTGTTGAAAAAATAAAGTTGAACTGAAGATATATCTTCGATTGAAACAATACGTTTATACATAAGTCTCTTGTTTTAAAATAAAATATAGTTTTGGATTAAGAGCATTATGAGTTTTATAATGCTTGTGACTGTAGCAAATCCAGTTGATAAACACAGAAAGAGACAAGATAGAAAATAAGCGAGAACCCACTGCCTGGCTTCTTTGCTGTCCCCGCTTAATGACCTTGTGATACGTATTGCTTCCAAAAGTTTTGGGTGACCTTCGAAACACTGTTCAATACATAGGAGAAAACCTTCGGTCACAGTTTTGAAGATTTAGTAGCAGATGTAGTCTACTTACGTTTTATAGGTATTTCCGTTATCGTTCGTTATGAAAAATAATAAGATGTTGTATTTGTTGCTTAGTACCGAAAAAATGCAATTTGTTGTATTGGATTTATATTGAACTGCTCAAAGATGGTTTCCGGAAGATGCGCTTCCGATATGAAATATCATTACTAAATATACCACAGGTAATCGGCGTTTGGCTGCTCGTTCAAACGTAACTCCCTTATAATCAAAATATACCAACCCAGTCACATCAGAAGTCAGAAGTGAAGGGCTTGAATATATAATTAGGAAGTTGTCGATATATCGAGAAGTGTTTGGTTTTGGCTGACTAGCAGTTGAAGAGCACGCGTAGTATGGCGTACTCACTAGTGATCTAAAGCGGATGAGCGACCGAGCGACATCAGTTAGGTTGTGTGCAGTAAAACTATTGAGGTCAGTAAAGACGACTAAGGCATATTTAATGATTTATTTTGGCTATTTATTTGTTGCTACACAACCTACAGATACTAACCAGGCATGAATAAAAATATATTTATAACTGTTTCTTTCTAATATTGCTGTTAAGGAATTGATTGATCACGGGATGGTGTTCAATGTCATGTATGTCAGGTCCTTCTTAGTTCAGATTAAATCATTTCAACGAAGTTGCAATATGGCCACCAGTCTAGGTGACTTGAGATCGCGTGCACTTTATTGAGATAGGATGATGGTTAGAGGTCAACAGGAAATCCACGACCCAGGTTTCGTGCTACTTGGCACTCGTCAGCAAGGTGTACTAGTACTAGTGCTAGTACTAGTACTAGGTGCTCTCTGACGGATTCTATCCCATGTCACCCAGTTTCACCACTCAGTGATCGATCAATTGTTATTGCTTCTTGATCCCATAAGAGGTCAGTTGCGGCCCGGATAACTCAGTGATAACGTCTCTGACTGTGAAGATGAGTGGCACGAGATCGAATCCGTCGGGAAGCATCAGTCTCTTGCTGACGACTATGAAGTAGCACGAAACTCAGGTCCAGGATTACCTGTTGACTACCGCAAACCACCATCTTATTGCTGACAAGGTCTGACATGATTCTTCTTTGCACTGATTCCATTGAATAATAACCGTTTCTTACAGACTATCAATAAAGAACCAATACACGTCATGACTTTAAGTTCAACAAATAATAAACTGTTGTCAACGGTCGAACATTAATTTACAACGAAATCAAGTGATAAAGACAATTCCACACCAGAGTCAAATTATTGCGTAGTGGTCATAGAAGATAGCGAAATATAAAATATGCTTGCACACATTTTGGTTATAAGTTGACATACTGAGCAGGAAGAAGAATCAAAGCAGTGACTACACTGGAAATAAAGGCATTTGAGACGGACTTTCGTAGTATTCAATAGGTATACTGGTCACTAAAATTCCTCCAGCTGTTTGAAGGCACTTCTGAATGCATCAGGTCATGGTTCCCATAGCTAGCTTACCTATGTTAGTGATATATATAGGTCTTACAAAGGTATGGCTACCCACAATTTTTTCTAAGGTGTCACAGCTTGCTTAATTCATTTTCTTCAATCAGTCTTGTGACGAAGTCATCGGTTTGTAAACATAGTTGAAGCATCTGTAGGACCATTATCAAAAGAATCGAATTCACGCGTTTCCTTTTTATATCATCTTGTATTTCACACTCAAACCAAGTTGTCAATTTAGTTCATCCAAAAAATAAAGATGTTAAACGAGTGAGTCATTGCCATATTCAATATGATCTTATGTCTACTGAAGTCTTTAGTTAATCAGCGTCCGTTGTCGAATTCAAAACTTCGAAAAGTGTAGATCCCATATTAGTTTGTATTTTATATGGAATAATTATGGGTCACAGTCACAATTACAAGGAAAATAAAGTTTCGTGATTATTGATTAAATAAGCACAAATGATATGGAGATCGTAATGTGGTATGTACTACTTATACGGATAAATCTAAGTAGTATGTATCCGGATTGGGATTAGAGTTCCTACTGACAGAAGAAAAACATGAAGAGCAAAGAAAGAAGAGAAAAAATGGTTGAAGTAAATAAATTGGTTTATTCTGCGCAGGTCTTCAACCAATAAAATTCTAGATTCGACTGTGTACATTTAAACACTAAAAACTACAAGTCACTTTATTTTAAAATGCAGATAATAATAGGTTATTCAATAAGTTTTAAACGATGGAGAAATTTTTTTATTGCTTGAATTACTTAACAATGAAAAATCGTCTTACACTTAAAATTCAACCATGCAACTCTTTCTGTCGTACAAACCAGGACCTTCTACGTAACATGGCAACTAAATCCCCATGAATTTTACTGCTGATATCAACTGTAAGACAAAATTATAATACTTACCGTAGTAATCGCTAACGATTTGCTTAAAGAATTACGGAGCTAAGACAGCTACCGAAGTGTTTGATGAATTTGACTTTTACTAATTAATAATACTATGGACTGTATATAAAGTCTTTTATGAGATTTGCAAGATATTCTTTTTTTGTATGACTGGCTAGTGTAAAACCTACCTTTTTTGAGCTTACTTATTGATGTTAAGGTACGCACAACCTGATTTGTGTCTTTCATCGGTATTCCGGAAAGGCACTGACTAAGCGTTGTGGGACTTTTTACTTCCACATTAATGCCTTAGTTAAGGACCTGTTATTCACCAATGCAAGCGACCTGTTTGGGTGGTTCCGGTCTGTCGGGGTTGGATGGGAATGGTTTTACCTTCCAGCTTACGTCGAAGTCACACCTCACGGTTAATACATAACGTGTATCACCCTCTCGTTGTATCCAGGCCTTGTGTCTACTTTGATAATCTTATAGGATAAGGATAATATTAATAAATAAGTGTATTACTAAGAAAACAGAAGAAATAGATCATGACCGGTACTACACAGGTTAGTTCATGGCGTACAGTCAATCAGTAACTTGTCTGCCGGATAATTTGGTCAGGGCCCGATAACATTTAACTGGCCCTACGAACAAAATCTCATACCAAGAAACCGTCATGGATACCAAAAGGCTATCCGAAAAAGTAAGCCAACTGATTTGTCTCTCTTTTGCTTACTTCAAGTCCCAAGGAGAGATATAGAAAATATCTATGGAATCAATTGACATAGGTGACATTTTGACAACTGAATTAACATGAGTTTCTTTAAAATTACTACTATTAGTATTACTACAATTATTAAGGCTATGAATCTTTCAGATAAGCATGACTTTTTTGAAAAAAACATCAGATTTTTGAGCATCAATTATTAATAATTTAGTCACAGTGATTTTCGAAATTTCATATCACCATATAAGTTAAATATGGATGCAGAATAAGTTACGAGCGCCATGCTGAATGCTATATTAATTTTGAACCTAATATCTGAATAAGATAACCAGTACTGACCGGTCAATTTGATCGGATATAAAAAATGTGGATCTACCTATGACCATATTAATTGATAATAGAATGTTTAATGCCTAGCATACTGGTGTGGTATCACGATTTCTGTTAAATAATTCTATCTCTATTCCTTATACATACGTGTTTATACGGGTTCATTTAATCAGGTAAGTAAAACAAAGGTCAACTTGAGTTCTTGCATTCATGTATAACTCTCACATCACACACATAGTCTCAACGACTATCATTATCATAGCTTAACTAGTGCATAACATATTTTATAGTTGTGTTCTAAAAATGGCTTGTTAGTTTCTTTCTAAATTTTTTTAAAATTTTACTCGGATATTCGCATAATTTAAGTTATGAAGCACGTGGAAGTACTTCAGTGTAGCTAGAATAAAAAAACAAAATACAATCAAAACCGCTTTTCAGATGAAGGCAAAAATAATGAATTATTTGACATGTGCTACCAGAAGTTAAGCACGAATAACAATAATACTAATAAATTACACACATGTATAAAGGTGATGAATAACAGTTCAAAGAGGATAACATAGTTGTAATTCACTTTCTTAAAATAGTATTAATTATGAATGTATCTATGTATAATGATCATTGTATAATATTTGCCAACATATTTTCATATTAATCAAAAATAATTTTCAAAATAATTTTGAGTTTATAATGCAATTGGCATTTTACTGATGATATATTTTTGATATTATGTATGAAAAAATAAGAAAGTCTAACTACTTTTCTTTGATAACCTGTTTCATACTAATAAATCAATTGAATATCAGTCATCAATCGTTGCACATAATATTAGAATAATATAGATGTAATATTCTTAAGTTATTATAATTCTTTTCGTTTATCTGAGTAAGATAGAATAAGTCGTCAGTTCCAAAAATGTTAAAATTAATACAATTATGTGATAATTAGAATTATTATACGAACTAGGAATAACTGAAATAGCGCAATTTAAACCAAACAGAACTAGATAAGCACAAATGAAAGCATTGTATTTCGAATTCAAAATCAGGCAGACATGAAGTACAAAGGAATCTAACTTAAGGTGTTTAGTTTTTCCTGAAAGCAATTTTTATAGTTCAGTTAATGAAATATTTATGAACGGTTTTGAAGTAATCCCTTTGGTTAGTATCTCGGTAGAACTTCTTAACGTCATCCAATATGTGATGCAGAATGTTCAGTTTTACTGTAACTGTTGTGTAAACTATGTTCAAATATCAATGAACTACTACTCAACAATTAGTCATCTTTAAAGGAATGGTTGGAAATTCAATTTATCCCGACACTAAAAAATATATAAAAAAAAGTCGTAACGCCAATGAGTATTCTAGAAAATTCGAATATTTTTGGAGAATAAAGTATATTTTCAGCTTGAAAACTGAAAATCTTAGCATCAAACTGAATGTTTTTTTAGGAAACAATACTTCATCCATTATTATTAGTATCATTATACAGATTTGGATTAATAGTCTG